TCTAAAGTGATCTGTGCATAAATCTTCGCGCCACCAGAAACGTGAGAAAAAGGTCACTGCTCAGCAGAAGACGCTTTTTTAGCTGAAGAAAGGTACTAAATTGTCATCGGTTTTAGATCACATGATTCAAGCCTTTAAGTTAAATCTTTTGGGCAGTTTCTACCCAGTAGGAATAACAACAGGTAAAGATAAAAGGTAACTTCAATAATCAAGATGTGAAATAAGGAGACTAGTTGCATAACCTTTGAATTAAAAAGCAACCTTCCATCTTCCGACCCTTTGTATCAAACGAAAAATTTATACATGAAGGACAAAACTAGGCATTCCTACCTTCTCGTTTGACTTATTGACGGCAAAAGGATTACCGGCTAGCTAGTAAATGTAAAAATTGGAGAGAGATATTAGCCAAGTGGCAAACAATAACAGCGACAACTGGGCCTTACACTCCCACGCTTTATCTGGCTCTATCTCTTTGCTTTTGGGATACTCACAGGCCCATTTCCCAGCCATAGTGGCTGGTTGACCAACAAAACCAAAGTCCATGGCTGCCGTCTACCAAAAAAGTATCCTCCTTTGCCAACGTCTTAAGGTCTCTTACTACTACATTAAAGGACACGGTGCTGAGAACACCATGGCCAAAATTATCAACCCAATATTCCTTAGAATTATAAAAAAAAAAAGTTACACAGTTCCACCATCTAATCCTTGCTAGTGTGTGTGTCTCTTCGTGTACGTGAGAGTTGCTTGAAAATAGTTATCTTTCGACCGTTTTCACTGCTGTTAACGCAACTTTTATCCAGTAGAAATTAAAATTGTTGGTCAATAAGTTAACGTGCTTAATGTGTTAGCAAATTTGTAGTATAGACTATAGACCAAGTTACCATAAAAGAAGATGAGCACGTGAAACTAATATCTGTGGAGAGAGGGATGTGAACCTTGAGAGAGGACACAATGGAGTGGAGATTCTGCTTGTACTCATCAACCGGCACGTGTTGGAAAGCAGCGTATCTATCGGGAAGGCAAGCGTCGTTAGCTCCGAAGAACACGGTTACTGCAAGTGGTGGCGGTGAAGCACCGTCAGAACCACCGCTTTCCGCCTCAGGAAAGACCCTATCAAGCACCTTCAACGCCCACCTTGAATTGTACCCACTGTACCCTCTCAGCACCACATCAACCTGTAAACCACGACCCCAATAAGAAAATCTCTTATGCATACAAAAACAATAAAAAGACTGCCATTTAGCCATATAAGTATAGGAACCGCTGGAGAAAAAAAAGAAACTTATGATTGGAAAAGACTTTTATGTAGCATCAGATAATCAATTAATACCGTGCGAGAGAAAAGGTTGGCGAGAGAAGCACCCCAACCACCATCACGAAAGGACTCCTCCGTGATTGAGTCTCCGAAAAGATAGATCTTTGGCCTCATGTTTGAGAGCAAAAACAATTCAACTTTTCTACTTCAGGGAAGCACTGTGAGAATCGAACTTGCAAGAACCGAGGACTAACAAAGGAGGACTTAATCAAGATCAATTCAGATCAAGTACCTTCTATTGGTATCAAAAAGCTGGGTGCTATTAAATGCTCACCAACTTCGTTGCACCCCAAAAGGGAGAGAGGGAATACAGACAAGAGGTAGAGATTAAAGGAAGAAAGGTTTTGTGGGCTTTTTTTGGCTGGTTTTTGGACTTTTTGGTTACTTTCTGAAACGAACGCATGGTAGAAATACTTTAACAGCAACACTATACGTTGAAGCAACATGGTTCTGGGGCAAGGACCAAAGCAGCCTCTTTAGTTGGTTATAACAACAAGATTGCCATGATTCGTTAAAGACTGAGGAGTCTGAGATTGTGAGTTAGAATGACATGACTGGTTGTAGACTTTACATTAAATTCTCTCACCCTCTCTGATAGGAATTCTATGCCATGGAGCCTGTGGTCTATCTCTATCACTTTCTCTACCTTTCCCTCTCTCCTATCGCTCTCCGGCTCAGGGCATCGATCCTTTTATCTCCAAGCTTTAATAGCAATGGGGCATTCATAATTACGGTGGGCCTCACCATCGACATTATGTCAATTCGGTCAATTGAGAAAGTTGCAAAAATGATAAGGACTTTCAAGTTGATGCAATTTTTTTGAGCACGATTCTGCCTCTTCTTTTTAAGATAATCCAAAAAGTAAAAGAGGGAATGAGAGTTTCAACCTTGAATCTGATTTTCTATCGAATTTTTTGAACTATATTCAGATAGATTTAAGTTTCCATATACTACTAAGGCAAATGATATATAGTTAATTTTGCCTTTCCTATATACCCCATAAAGTAATAAAAGGCTAATTCTTGACACGCCAGGCTCAAAATCTTTAGAAATCGAACAGGGTCATATGAAACAATTATATATCCAAAAGAAAACTATTTAGATCCAGAAGATCAATTATATTATATTAATATATATATTGCATTATACATCAAAACCTAACTTTGGAAGATTGGCAAAAGTGGATAACACTATTTTATGTGCATTTACTGAAAAGCAGGTCGATGATGTCACCTCCCAAAATCACCAAATGAAATGAGGTTGGTCCATTTTTCAATTGATAAAAAAAAAAAAAAAGGGTTGATTGCGTATGCATGGAAATCCATACTTTTTGCATTAACTTCCTTTTACTATGAATTGAACCATTCGATTGGGCAAGAATCACTTAAATACTTGAAGAGTTTGTGCATTAAAACGGCCTCTTGAAAGTCGAAACGCTGCTATCATGACCAAACACACGAGTTGGAAGTTGGAATGATAAACAACGACAAAAGGAAGGTGTAATGTTTTATTAAATTATTTAATAAATTTTATATAAATTTATTTTATTTTATTACATTTAATCAAATTTATTAAATAAACTTATAATATTAATTATTAATTAATTATCATTAATCAATATATCACTTATCATTTTTATATCAAATTAAAAATATTTAATTATTACACATGTAACATTGAGCATTCATTATTTTAAAAAGTATATTGGATGACATTTAAGATATTAGTATACATATATATGTATGTATTAAATAAATAAGTTGTTTAGGTGGTTAAAGAATTAATAAAGCTGAGTTGATTTTAAAAATGTTGTAAGTTATACGTAATTGTAAAGGAAAGCCTAAATGACAAAAAAAACATGGTCCAAAAATGCAAAATGACAAGGAGTCTGAGTCAAATTACTTGTGGGCTCCACCATATGTGTTAATTCAAGAAACAAAAGTTGAAACGATTGCCATGATCCCTTTTAATTTCTGTGTTTAGGACAGTAATTCCCAGAAAGCCAAAAGACACGGCTAAATTAAGAAGGCATTGGGGAAAGTTTTTGAGAGAATCTAAGGAATCCTACTTATTAATTTTCGATTACTTTAATAATTGAATTAACGCCTCAAATGACATAAAATTAATAAGGATGCATGACAATGGGTATCTTATATTTAGATTTTTGACGAATTCGGATAATAATTTTATTATTTATTTAGGATTTGGGTAAAATATGAGTATCATTTTTTTGGATACCTAAATTCCTTTATAAATAAATATGTATAAAATATTTTCTATGCTTTTAAAATGGATTAAACCTTGTTTATACTTTTGGACAATCAATAGTCCTATCAATTTAATCAAATTTATTTTTTGATATTATATATAAAAAATTTTATATATAATGGATTTGGATATTTAACAAGTAATTACAAATTTAGATAATATTTTTAAATTTTATTTGAATAATTATAAGATTCAAGTATCTTATATTTAATAGAATTCGAACTCTCATTATTTAAAAAATAACAAGCATCTTACTGGTTAACATTCTTAAAATTAATCTACATTATTAGTCATCATTAATGTGAGAGTGAATTAATTCGTAGTCCAATCTTAGTAATTAATTACAGAAATCAAAGAGAGAAATGAGAATTAATGCAAGCATGCAATCCCGACTTTGATAGCCGTCGTAGCAAAAGAGATCATCAAGTCCTATTATGATGCTACTAAGCCTTTCCAACGACAACAGCTCTTAATGACTTGTCTGAAGGGTTGCTGTTCCCCTCTTGTCTTGACAGACACAGGAGATACACAAACCAGAAACAATGATTAATGCTGGCTAAATAATTCTTTAAAAGGTTACATCACATGAGCAAGGTAGTTGAATAATATAAAATCCATGCAGCTTTTTCAAATCATATGCCTGGCATAGAGGGCATTTTTAAATAAATTAAAAAAAAAGGGGTGGGGAGGAAAAGCATCATATATAATCGAGCATGTGGGACTCTATTGAGATTCAAAGCATTATTCTCGTTTTGTTTCTTTCTCAAAAATCAAAAGAGGAGCATGAATTACTAAGATGTTATTTTAATGTTTGTTCAAAGTCCAACACTTGTTTATTTGTGCACGCCAACAAAGCTGCTTTAATTCTCATTACCATATTCTTCATTAACCGTCAAATTTTGCCTAATTTTATAGCCTTAATATTAGTGTACAAGAAAATATAATCATCACTTAAGGATTACCAATATATATATATATATATATATATAATATAATATAACTTCATATTGTCCCAAAGGACTGTTGAACTTGAAATGAGTTTGTTCTTGACTTTTCTTGTGATAATTGTGGTAGGTTTTGAGAACAGAAATTGGTATGACCCCAATCCATGGCCTGGGGTTTAGAAAATAAAAAGAAAGGCATGAAATATAGATATAATACCTGAATGAGATGATGCAAAACCCAAAATTCGTTAACTTTGCAAAGCAAGTCATGGTATTTTTTATGTAGTAATTTACACGTCCTTGTACTAATATACAGTGACAAAATCAATATGGCCGGTGACCACTTTAAAGAAGAAAAAGAAAGCTTAAAAGGGTCTCAATCCATCAGTCACTAAAAGGGCATAGTCCGGTATTGGTGAAGACGGTGGATTTGCAATCCAAACAAATAAAAACTAAAAGCTTCACATGCGTGCGTTGTTTGCTTTCCAAGGAAATGATCATTTGCTTGTGGAGTTTGGCCATGTCATTCCTCTTATGGTATGAAAAGATTTCCCTATTTTAAAGAAGCAAAAGAAAAATAGAAGAGCAGTAAACATTGCCACATGGGAACAAATGTTATGGCCCAATAAGAATGTGAAAGTTTAACCAGCCGTTGACTGAGCTAGGACCTAGTCCTAGAATCCTTGCCAAGCAAAACCAAAGCTACTCCCTGCCTGAGTGCCTGGTTATAAATAAGCAGTTACCAAGAAATTAATCAATGGGAAAATGAAAAATGGAAGACTACCCACAATCGGACCGTCCATTTTCTCAATAGCCAACAATCAAAACTTTCTCGTCCCACCTAAGGATTCTGTTTCGCCAAACCACCATAACTACCTCTCTAACCCAACCGCCACAACTCTCTCCTCTGCTCTTCAACACTTCATTAACTCAGATACCCCTTTCCATGGCCAAAAGATCCATACACACATTATAAAATCTGGGTTTTCACCCAATACAAATGTTTCTATCAAACTCCTTATATTGCATCTGAAAAGTGGGTGCTTAAAATATGCCAGCCAAATGTTCGATGAATTGCCGCAGCAGACTTTAAGTGCGTACAATTATTTGATCGGTGGGTACCTTAAACATGGGAGAGTTGAGGAGTCACTTGGTTTGGTTCGTAGAATGGTCTATGCGGGTGAAAAGCCTGATGGATTCACATTTTCAATGATTTTAAAGGCGTCTGCTTGTGGGAGTAATAGGGTGGTGTTGCCGCGGCTTTTAGGAAGGGTGGCCCATGCCCAGATGGTGAAATTGGATGTTGAGCCGGATGAAGTGCTTTATACAGCGCTGGTTGACTCGTATGTGAAGAATGGGAAGGTTGGATATGCAAGGACTATTTTTGATATGATGTTGGAAAAGAATGTGATTTGTTCAACGGCGTTGATCACTGGATACATGAATAATGGATTGATAGAGGAGGCTGAAGATGTGTTTAGTAAAACAATTGAAAAAGATGTGGTAGTTTTCAATGCAATGATTGAAGGTTTCAGTAAATCAGTTGAAACTGCTAAGAAAGGACTTAAGGTTTTTGTTGATATGCAACGGTTGAATTTCTGGCCTAATATTTCGACTTTTGCTAGTGTAATTGGGGCTTGTTCTGTTTTATCGGCAGTTGAAATTGGTCAACAAGTTCAAGGTCAATTAATGAAGACTGAGTACTTTATGGACATAAAGATTGGAAGTGCTCTTGTTGACATGCATGCAAAATGTGGAAAAATTGTAGATGCCAGAAGGGTTTTTGACTACATGCCGGAAAAGAACGTTTTCACATGGACCTCGATGATTGATGGATATGGGAAGAATGGAAATCCAAACGAAGCACTTGAGCTGTTCCATGTGATGCAAGAATGTTGCGTTGAACCTAATTATGTTACATTCCTTAGCGCTCTCTCTGCTTGTGGACATGCTGGCTTACTTGCCAAAGGGCGTGAAATCTTTGAAAGTATGGAGAGAGATTACTCAATGAAACCAAAGGTGGAGCACTATGCTTGCATGGTTGACCTTTTGGGACGTGCAGGGCATTTGGATCAAGCATGGGAACTTGCAATGGGGATGCCTGAGAAGCCTAATTCTGAAGTTTGGGCAGCTTTGCTCAGTTCTTGCAGGCTGCACGGTGATGCACAAATGGCAAGTATAGCTGCCGATGAACTTTTTAAGTTGAATGCCGATAGTAGGCCAGGGGCATTTGTTGGACTATCAAATGCTTTGGCAGCTGCTGGAAAATGGGATGGTGTAAGTGAGTTGAGGGAGATAATGAAGGTAAGAGGGATATTGAAAGAAACTGCTTGCAGTTGGGTAGGGACTGAGTGTGGTTATTGAAGTTTCCATCTTCTTGAAGCTATTTCAGCTTGACCTGCTTCTATGATCATTGCTTCTGCTGGTAATTTCCCATGCAGTTGCTCCAAATGCTTGAGTAGGGCCTAGGGGTATGGAACAATGTATACAGTTATCCGTTATTCACGAACAATAATTAATCAAGCCAATGTTAAAGGGGGTTTACTGGGTTCTTTCTATAAAAATTTCAGGACAAAACCTCACAGTCCTTGTACTCTGCGCATATCTCCCTTTTTCTTGGACATCAACCATGATTAATTCCACATCATTCTCATGATCACCAAGCATTGAAATTGCAAATATCAATTGCGGGCCTCGACCAAATTTATTCAGTCAGGTTAATTAGTAATCTTCAGACATGGATAATCCATTGTTATTTATTTAAAATCCTTAAGTTCTGTATGATCAATGTCTTTATTCGGATGGTAATTGACGTTGTAAAATTTTTGGTTGAAAATTAATCCTTGAGAAGGAAGGATATTCTTTTATAGTCTTTCTATTTTTTCACTCTCTTGGAGATGATCAATTGAGGCCCACCAGGCATGCCTTTGCTTTGCATCCCAAGCTCTCAGCAAAGTGGGTCAAGCCCATTTCCAAGGACTGATCTATCAGGTTTTAACTCTCCTCTTTGTCGAATTGTTTAACAGCAGCCCCAAAATGCACTTCTCCATGGGGCGGCAAAGGCAAGTAGCCGGCGGTACCTTCGTCACTTTTGCACAGCTCCTCCTAAACCCTCATTTCCTGTGATTCCTTAAGGGTTTGCTCCACTAGAAACAGAGAGCAAAAAGATTATAGGTGAATTATCTGCTGTGGATAACTTCCATATAATCTTGGCAAATGTGTGTTAGAAAATTTACTGATTGGACCACGTACGAGTGCTTCTATTGATCTAGATAGCATGTGAGCTTCGCTTGAATGGACACTGCTTAACTAATCCACGAGTAGTTTATTCATCAGTCAAAAGTATGGCAGCAGTTTGATCTTAGGCCTTGTCATGCCTTTTTTTTTTGTTCAGAAAAAAGAGTAACAACAGCTCGACCTCTATATGCTAACAATTGATGATACGATGATTCGCAATTTGGCATTGCTCTATTTGGTATAGCTGTAAAAAATTCGAACAAAAATTTAATATAAATCACAAATGAATAAACCATAAGCTGCCGATGGCGTGACCCCAGAGGAAAAGACTTGCTAATCAATACTCATGGGGGCAGACAAGAGTCGTAGAATTACGTGGAGATTTGGTATTGGTTGGTCACCGCCTCCCTTCAAACATTGTGGATTGTCATGGTGTAAACGGCACATACATGTATAGATACGCCAGCACCAAATTTTATTTAAAGCCTTGCTTGTCTTATTTCTTGTTCTGCTTCGTCAACATTGTTATATCAGAAGAGATCAACTACTGCAAGAAAAGAGAACGAAACAGAGAGAATTGGGATCAAGCCGATATGTCTTGCTGCTGCTGCTGCTGTGATGATTGTGAATGCAGGCCCTTAGGCTTTCTGTTGGGTCTGCCCTTCGCCTTCCTATCCCTCCTCATCTCCATAGTCGGCATAGTCATCTGGATTGTAGGGTTAGTCTGACTTTCTCTTTTTCTTTAGACTGGCTTCCTACAGATTGATGAATCAATTCTTCGATGCAAAGTCGATATGTTCTTTATCTGTTAACTGCTGCCTTTAAGCTGATTATCATGGGGTTGTTTCTGTGATGCTGCAGGTTGGTGTTGACGTGCATCTGCCCCTGTTGCTTGTGCGTAACCATCATAGTCGAGTTTGCACTGGGTTTGATCAAGGCTCCTACTCTGGTCATGAAGTGGTTCACCTCTAAGATCCCTTGTTAGAATTGAAGTGTAAAGCATATAAATATAATTAAATTGATTTGATTTTCACCGAACTTATGTTCAAAGTTTTCTATTAATGTTGGTTATATATTATACAAGTTGATTTTTTGGAGCACTGGTTTTTTTCTTCTGTGATCAATCTTTACTAATTATGAATTTTTATGTAATTCAATTTTCCACTTTCTCTTGTTAACTAATGAATGACAGGAGCACTTATCCCATAAAAAATATTGATACTTGTTTAATTGATGTTGTTATTACTTTTTATTTTTTAATAAAAAATAAATAGAAGATAAAAAATAATAACGAAAACAAATAGCAATAACATCAACTACCCAGAATTTATATAAACAATAGATAAAGAAATTACATGGCATACAATTTTGTTACTATTTTCTTAAAGGTTAGAGGAAAAGCAATTGGCTCTCGGGGAGGATTGAAGTCAGTCCTAAGTTCTTAATCACTTGCTCTAGCTTTTGGGCTCTTCCATTCAAAAGCCTAAAAATGTAAACTGATGAACAAGGGGTTTTCGATTGAGAAAAAAAAGTCAAATAAAGGTGAGGAGGGAAGGTGATTTGATTTATGGAATCTTGACCTAGCTATACGAATCAAACTTGAGTTGTTAAAATAAGATACATATATATGAGATTAATTCAAGTTTGATCAATTAATAATGTGTTAACATTCCAAAGATAGTTAAATTTATCACTTCTGTCAATTGGTCAAAATTGCAAAATAATTGCTGTTGCCTTGATCGATATACAACTATGGCTGCTACTATCAGCCCCAATTCCAGCATGGAACATCTATGATTAGAAATAGAATATTCTAAATATGGTCTTTGCAGTTATATTCATTTTCTTTTCACTAGTAAATCTGACCACTGACCGCTCTTTCTGGGGTAATCTCCATTAATCATCAGGTATCTTGCTTTGCCAGTAGTATACTCACTTTCCAAAAAATTAAGCAAACAGATAATATAAATATAGTATCAGGCTTAATCTGTAGGAGTGGGAAGACAGGAAAGAAATCAGTGGGCTAGAAAAGGCACGGGAAGCCTGTGTTAGGTGGCTACTTAGAATACCAGATAATCCGAGAGCAAGACACGTGACTTGAGCAAGTAGGTTCAAGGACTCACAGATTTAGAATTTCTGTTTGTCTTGACAAAACAAAAAGAAGTTCAAACGAAGTAAATCCAAAGGTAAATTTATTTCCATACCCAAGTGAAATTTCATTTTAACCAGTACATGACCAATTGAATAAAAGAGACATCTTGCTTGTACAAGCTTCAAAGGCTGAATTCGGTCAAATATTCAAAGCCTAATACATTCAACACAATCGCCCATGACGAGAGTTTTCAATTCTTAGGACTCAACGTGTGCCCATGAATTGAGAAACCCGATAGAGCCAAATGTAATGGAAAACCAGACCAACTTGCTCCTGTTTTCCAATCTAGTGGTCCCTTTCATGTCCGATACTATTATTCCCTCAGATAAGTCCTTGATGTTCCCCACCCAAAACCTTAAAATAATCAAAATCACAGTTCCAAACCGACAGCTATACCACAAATGAGGCAGTAGAGAAACCTAAACCTGGTTTTCACTTAATCCTGCTTTGCTTTTTAACTCTAAAACCCACCAAAGCCTAGCCAATGAACATGACTTTTTCCTCGTCATCAGCCCATTGTTAATCAAACCCGCTTTCTCTTCAGAAGAACTTGTATTAATACCTCCTTCAAAGCCTTTAAAAACCCACCAAGTTAATTCATTTTCAATAGTTTCTAAACAACACTCATTTCATAGAGTTCCCACCTCTTCCTTTTTTTTTAATCATTTTAGTACAAAAGCTTTTACTGCATGGAGGCTGGTAATAAAATCGGTTCATCAGCTCATCCCACTTCCTTACCTCCACCGGTCCGTGGAGGTGCCTCGTGTGGCACCCTAGGACGCCACCTGGCAAGGCGGCTCGTGGAGATTGGTGTGAAGGACGTGTTCTCAGTTCCTGGCGATTTCAACTTGACTCTCTTGGATCACCTTATAGCAGAACCTGAGCTGAACTTGATCGGATGCTGCAATGAGCTTAACGCCGGATATGCAGCGGATGGCTACGCCCGTTCTAAAGGCGTGGGAGCCTGCGTGGTGACTTTCACTGTTGGGGGCCTCAGCGTGCTTAACGCAATTGCTGGTGCTTATAGTGAGAATTTGCCAGTGATTTGCATAGTTGGAGGGCCTAATTCTAATGACTACGGGACCAACCGAATCTTGCATCATACTATTGGGTTGCCTGATTTTAGCCAAGAACTGAGGTGCTTTCAAACGATCACCTGTGCCCAAGTAAGTTAAAGGCTACATTTTCAGTTACTAGCGTATGACCCGTGCTTGGCACACGGTCTCTTTGCACCGCTCTTTGCTTCGACATCTTTTTTCTTTCTCTTCTAAAATAGAGGAAGTAGAATTACCAGATAAGCTGGGGATATTTCTCTATCTCTTTCTCCAAGATTAAACTTTTGTAGTTGTTTTGTTTTACAAAAGTTTTACCTAGACTGAGTCTAACTCTTTTTGTTTTTGTTTTTATTTTTTTTTTCTGTTAGAAAAGACCCAAAAAAAAAAAAAACAAAATCTAACCCTGTTGTGGGTACTTGTTGTAAATTCATCTTCTTCTTTTGTTTTTTTTTTCAAATTTGTCACCAACTCTTTTTTTCTTTGTTTTAGAGTCTACTATTGTACTCTGATAGAATTGTTAAGGAACATTTTTTAATTTTGAATTGTACTCTCACGCTTGGGCAATTTAAAATTTTTTTGTGAAAATTTGTTAGAGCTCTAAAGCCCCTTCTTGAAGACATCCTGTTAGAGCTTTAAAATCCCTCTTTAAGCCTTGTACGTGGCAAAATGAGGAAGCCCCTTTTGGGACTTCCTTTTAATAATGTTGTAGATGTTCATAATAAATATGATGTCTTTGTGCAATTTAGCAGATATAAATATTTGGTTATTTTGGTTGTAATTTTTGTGGCTTCTGTAACTTGTTTGATATTAGACTAAGTTCATAAATTAACGATGGTGTGGTGGTGATCTGATTTGACAGGCGGTGGTGAATAACTTGGATGACGCACATGAGCTAATAGATACTGCAATATCCACAGCTTTGAAGGAAAGTAAGCCGGTTTACATTAGTATCAGCTGTAATTTGCCCGGAATTCCTCATCCAACTTTTGCTAGAGAGCCAGTGCCCTTCTTTCTTGCTCCAAAGTAAAGTTTTTTTCTGACTTCTTACATAACTGTATTAGCCCTTCCCTTGAATCAGAGTAGTCTTTCCCTGAGTTCTCATCACATTGCTTGTGGTATATTTTGAGGCATTTAATTCATTCACATTATTGAAATGTGCAATTGGCAAATGAGTGCTTGTGTTTTATTCATCCTCAAGAGGAATAATTCATATGCTTCCAGAAGGTTGCCAAGAGTTGTGACTATTATAACCTGCTTACCATGTATTTTATTTGATGAATGGAGGCTATTTGAAGCTAAGAAAGGAACCTGGCCAAAAGAAAAGGGAAATATTAGTTTATTTAGAGGAAATGGTTGAAATATATTGAAATTTGAATAAAAGAACAGAGGTGTTCTATGATATGGGGTACCGTTCTGAGGGGCCTAGAGATAGCCTTAGCCATAACCGGGCAGAGGCAGTTTTTGTTGGAAAGCTATCCAAAGCTTATTGTGAGGAAGTAGTAGGACTTATTCTAGCTTTAGCCAAATTTACAGGTCTTCTTTGTACTATTAGATGCTATATACATGTATCACAATTGTGCTATGCATAGAGCAAAGTATCGTATAGCATTCATAAAAAGAATTAGTAGCGTTCTTTTCTTTCCATTTGTCTAGACCTCTAAAAGAATGCCCTTGATGGCTGAGTGAAATTTTCATTCATTATAATGGCTGTTAAATAGATATTGTTTCAGACCTGAATGGAATTAAGTTACATGCTTGTGATGCTTATTCTTTACAATTTTATGCAGGGTAAGCAATCAATTAGGATTAGAAGCAGCTGTGGAAGCTACTGCTGATTTTCTGAATAAAGCTGTGAAGCCTGTCCTTGTGGGTGGACCTAAATTAAGGGTTGCAAAGGCACAAGAAGCCTTTGTAGAGCTTGCAGATGCCAGTGGGTATCCAATTGCTGTAATGCCTTCAGCCAAGGGATTGGTGCCAGAACACCATCCACACTTTATTGGAACGTACTGGGGTGCTGTTAGCACCAGCTTTTGTGGGGAGATAGTGGAATCTGCTGATGCCTATGTTTTTGTTGGCCCGATCTTCAATGATTACAGCTCTGTCGGGTATTCTTTGCTGGTCAAGAAGGAGAAAGCAGTCATAGTGCAACCTAATCGTGTCACTATAGGCAATGGTCCTTCTTTTGGCTGGGTTTTCATAACTGACTTCTTAAGAGCATTGGCCAAGAAGCTGAAGAGAAATAGTACTGCTGTGGAGAACTATCGACGAATCTTTATCCCTCCAGGCATGCCTCTGAAGCTTGGAAATGATGAGCCTTTGAGAGTCAATGTTCTCTTTAGGCACATTCAGGTAGGCACTAAAGTCATGACTTGAAAATATCCTCTTCACTATTGTAGTTTAGAATATAGAATTACTGAAGGAATGAGCTTATGACATTATTGGACCTTTAAGATGGCCTCCATTTGGAATAAAATATGGTTAACTAACAAATGCACTGAAGGATGTCAGACATGCCTTGTTGACCCTTACTGCTTTGGGTTTTATTTCTATAAAAGGTGGAAACGCTTGCTTTATGGTGTCACATTCTTATCCTTTGTTCTTTCTCTAACTAAATCTGTATAACATCCATGATATTTAGAGATGATGTGAATTGTTTAGACTTAACAATGCATAACCAGATGCAAACACTTCATTTGATTCTTATTTCTTTCATTTACTTTGATTATCTCATTTATTGGTCGACCTTGTTTAACAGGATATGCTAAGTGGAGAATCTGCAGTTATTGCTGAAACTGGAGACTCATGGTTTAACTGTCAGAAGCTCCATCTTCCAGAGAACTGCGGGTAAGTCCTGATCATTTGAAATAGTACGTTTCTTTGAGTTTCGAATAAGACTCGTGTGCTTATTATGCAGTGGGTAAATTTTTTTTTTGTTCCTTGCAGTTATGAATTCCAGATGCAGTACGGATCCATTGGTTGGTCAGTTGGTGCCACGCTTGGATATGCTCAGGCTGCTAAAGACAAGCGTGTGATTGCTTGCATTGGTGATGGTAGTTTCCAGGTGGGCGAGATAATCTTTTTTATGTAGAACATCAATGACACATTTAGGGGTAACAACAAACATTTGAAATAACATTGATATTGAAAAGGAACTTTGTGCTAAAAGGTTGCAGTTTCTAAAAATGCAAATAATTTTTGCTGTTTCAATTCATTGTCATGATTGTGAAGCAACTGAATTAATTTTTTTTTTTTTGTAAAAAGGTTGCCCCATATACTTACGATAAGCATAAGAGAAGCTGAACCTTGGCTAGGACAGTCATATACTGCAATATTTGCTTGGAAGTTGGAACTAACAAATAACGAATAATTTACTTCTACATTTGGATAAAAAAAGAATGTGGTAACTAAATTTTTTTCTTCAATTATTCAGGTTACAGCTCAAGATATTTCAACAATGATCCGATGTGGACAAAGAAGCATTATATTTCTTATCAATAATGGAGGCTATACGATTGAAGTTGAGATTCATGATGGCCCTTACAATGTTATCAAGAACTGGAATTACAGTGGCCTTGTTGATGCCATCCACAATGGTGATGGCAAATGCTGGACAGCCAAGGTTAGTAATTTAGCATAATTAATGGAAGGCCCAACAAGCCATAGCTTAATCAAGAGAATACATCATAACACTTAATTGTTGCATTAGGCTATAGTTCTTAGATTATCTTGTTCAGTGCAAAAAAAGTTTATTGTTGTTACTGGAAAATTTGAAGGTATTTCTGGACCTAATCACAAGAGTATGCATATATTGATCAAAAGTTCCAAATCCAAAGTTTGGCCTTGCTTAACTACAACCAAATGGTAGTTTTATTTTTCAAATGATTAGCATCCACTGTTAATGCAGAGCATCTGTTCGGTAAGCATAGACTGATATTTCTATTGTTAAATGCAGGTGCGGACAGAGGAAGAACTAAAAGAAGCAATTTCCACAGCAACAGGAGCAAAAAGGGATTCACTATGTTTCATTGAAGTTTTTGCACACAAAGATGACACTAGCAAAGAGCTTCTGGAATGGGGATCCAGAGTTTGCTCTGCTAACGGCCGGCCTCCAAATCCTCAGTAGTGCTGTTGATTTCTGAATGTTTAGGGGAAGGCAAATTTGAGGCACTATAAGCTTGACATAAGATGGGAGGACAGAATTGCTTGGCGGGGATGAGATTTCTGTCAATCTTGTTGCTGCATTATAGTGCAGCAATTTTATTCTAGTTACTCTATGTTGACATGTTGAGCCGTTGTATTTCTTGTACACGATCACGGTGAATAATCTGTACGAACAAAAAGAGCTAACGAATGAGTAGATTGTGAACAAGGTGTTGTCTGTCAGGAGCAGCCTAAATAAGTCATCACCAGAATTAAGGATAAAGCTGTCATCTGAAGGGGTTAAAATGTAAAAGCATAAAATCCTTAACTATATCTAATGTTTGGAGGTCTCATGAAATTAACCAAATACTAATCTCTGTAAAGTGGAAAGCTCAGATGTAAGTTTTCTGTTTTCAATCCAAGCCATCCTTTTGGAATGGCTTTCAGAATGATCCTCAAGAGCGCTGGGGATTTTTTTTTTTTTGGAAATATGGATTTTATTAACCATATGACTCATATGTTATTGTTAGTCTCGATCTGAAGCAGAGACTCCCATTGGCATGGAAACCGGCTTGGCAAGACCGGATCAAAAACTGAAAAGGAAAAACCGCTAGAAGATTGCTTTTCATGGGATTTCCTCCAAACATGTCTCTGCATAGTGTTCTCCAATTTTAACAGTACAATTTGAACTGTCAAGTCAAATCTTTGTCGTACCTTTCAAAACCTGAATCTGTTGCATATGCCTAAGAAGGTACAAACACAACATGCAAGGGAGGCATAGAAGAGACCAACCCAGTAAAATTTAGGACGAAGACAACATTGTACATGGCCCCTTCTTGTAGTTGGCGAACTATCATCTCCTTCTTCTAGTGATTGTCTGTTTCCGTTTGGACTCCATGATGGTTTTCCCATAGTTTCAGTCACTTTCTATCAATGCATTTTGTTGCACATAGGATCTTTAAGTATTGGGTGCCGCCCTGTCCAGCAGAGGAACGTGCCCCTTCCTCCTCTCTCCAGCCTTCGTGGTTCCCTGAGGAGACGATTGAATGTAAAAAAGTTTTACCGCAGAAAGTATTGGAGACAATCTGACTATTTTCCAATATTCAGTAAACATAATACTCCAAAAAATACGTATAAACTCATTGGATGTCCACATGTCAAAACTTCATTAGCAGCTTCCAACTCCTCGAAAGCCACAATTTTTTTTTTCTTTATTTCACTTTTCTCAGTGATCCTCTCCACTCCTTTCAAAGCCTCTGCATTTCTTCTGTTCTCCTATTCCATTTTCTCCGCAAAACTCAACTACCAAGTCTTCCTCTCTTCTAACTCCAAATGAAGATTACCATGTTGGGATCTGCAGTGGCTGCGTTGAAGAAGGCCACAGCAGCATCACCTAGCACATGTGCATCAACCCATCTCTTGAGTCGGTCCTACTACTACGCAGGGTCCTCCCCTGAAAGGAAAGTTGCGATATTAGGAGCGGCAGGGGGCATTGGGCAGCCACTGGCTCTGCTAATGAAGCTAAACCCTTTTGTCTCTTCCCTTTCTCTTTACGATATAGCCAATACTCCCGGTGTTGCGGCCGATGTCAGCCACATCAACTCTCCTGCTCAGGTCTTTTTTCCTTCTCTTTCTTTCTTTACATCGCTCCTTCTTTATTCTTATGTTGACTGAATAGAGTTTGTTCTTTAGTGGAGAATAAAGGATCTTGTTTTCTCAATTCAAAGTTCTAGTTTTTACGAGGTTTTTCACTTTTTTTTTTGTTTATTGCCTATTAGGTTTCAGGCTATGTGGGTGAAGAAGAGCTGGGTAAATCATTGGAAGGATCTGACCTTGTGATTATTCCTGCGGGCGTTCCAAGAAAGCCTGGAATGACCCGTGATGATCTTTTCAACATCAATGCTGGAATAGTGAAATCCTTATGCGTAGCCATTGCTAAATATTGTCCCAATGTGAGTCCCTCACTTTTTCTCCCCTGGTTATATCTTGCCTGTAATATGCTCATGAATTTGTAATTTGTTTTGGGTTAGGCGCTGGTCAATATGATAAGCAATCCAGTGAATTCAACAGTCCCAATTGCTGCTGAGGTTTTCAAAAAAGCAGGGACCTATGATGAGAAGAAGCTATTTGGTGTGACTACACTTGATGTGGTCAGGGCTAAAACTTTCTATGCCGGAAAGGCTAAAGTGCCAGTGGCTGGTATTGTTTATCTTCTTGCTTCGCGTTCTTTGTGGATCCCTTATTTATACTTTATCATGTTGCCAATAAAATGCAAGAACACATAGAAAATTTATAGTATTCAGGGAAAAATGACTCCTGCTATTGGCCTTGTTTTTTGCTTATGCAGATGTTGATGTACCGGTAATCGGTGGCCATGCTGGCATCACTATCCTCCCACTCTTTTCTCAGGTCTCTCCCTTTTTCCATATGTGGTGTGTGTTTTGCTTGTACTTGGTTTTTCTATTTTTCGAATTGGATTTTTTGCTCTTCAAATTTAATTGTGGCTGTTTAAGTTTATCAATTTTATTGTTTATATATGAATGAATAGGCCACACCAAAAGCCAACTTGCCTGATGATGACATAGAAGCTCTTACTAAGAGAACACAGGATGGAGGAACAGAAGTTGTTGAAGCAAAAGCTGGAAAGGGATCTGCAACACTATCAATGGCGTAAGTAATTACAGCAGTCGTTTTGGGATGATTTTTTGACTGGTAATCAATTGTCTACTATCACTTTACCCATTTAGTGATTATTCCTGGAAGAATAAACGACTGCTGGGAGTTAGTAAATAACTTGTGCCATCTTTGGGGAGTTAGTATTATACGTTGAGGTGAGAGATTGCCATGGCCAGAAGTCATTGCTTGTGTTAGATGCAGGTGCATATAAAAGATAATCTTACCGTGTTCTAGCACGTGTACTTAAGTAGCAGAATGCTTCTCTTCCACCATATATTTTAGCTGCATGAGCTCTTGAAGGTTCTGGTTTACTCATGATCCTTTAATCTCCAGAAACAAGCAGAATAGGGGTTGGAAGCTCTTTTTGGTACTGAAGCTTTCCAAGAAATTTGAATTGAATATATATGCTGTTGAAAACTAATTGATCATATCTGCTGCAGCTATGCTGGAGCTGTTTTCGCTGATGCTTGCATAAAGGGGCTTAATGGAGTCCCAGACGTTGTTGAGTGTTCTTTTGTGCAATCGAGTGTCACAGAATTACCTTTCTTTGCCTCCCAGGTGACTAGATAAAAGTTATTGGAACTTTTGTGGTGTTTATTTTGTTATCTTTTGTTTGGTAAAGACAAGTGTGACTCATAAAGATAATTTAATGGCCGTGAGTTCCTGACATATAAATTACCTTTATATCGTCAAAATGTTAGGCAATTATATTTCAATAGATTTCATCTAAATATGAGCATGTTTACGATGTCAAGATAACTATCAATCTCTATGGCATCTCATGAACTGCTACTTTCTTTGGGTTGCAATGTTTATCTTGGCCAATGCAGTTGAACTTATGATCTTGAATCCTTGATCGTTTAAAATTAGATAGCAAGAAAATCCTTTTTAGTTTATAAGTTTAATATTCATTTATTTGTTAGAGCTTAAACTTGACTTCATGGAAAATTGATTATTTCTAGAAGTTTCAAGATCAACACATCATTATTGAATCTAATTGTACCATATCTTCTGTTATCTTTGATAATTAACTACCAAGTGGGTGTAAAAAATAATGCCAATTACTGAGACCAAATGACTTTAGACTACTGTATTTTTGCAAAAGTTAAGTTGCTGATTTCAGGAAATGTTGTTGAAATGTTCAAATCTGATGTGTGAAATCATTGGATAGTTGGGATCAGTAGGTTGTGCATTATTGTCTTAAACTATAGATTAGAACTCTTGTAGTGGGACTTATGCAGAAATCCATGTCATATTGCTATTAATTAACTGCAGAGGAATGCCTAATTGCTAATCTTGTTTGTATATATTTGTTTAGTTTTATTTATCTGGGTGGATGATCCTTTTGACTTGTTTATCTAAGCTCAATTTTGCATATCAAAACCACAGGTAAAGCTGGGAAAGAATGGTGTTGAGAAAGTCTATGGACTTGGTCTACTTTCTGAATTTGAAAAACAGAGTCTTGAGAAACTCAAGCCAGAGCTCAAAGCGTCTATTGAGAAGGGAATCAAGTTTGCCAACCAAAATTAAGTGGATTAATTAGAAGATTCTCACATTCAAGATTCCTGGTTTTGTGTTGCACTTTATAGTTTTGCTTTCATCCGACAGATATTGTATTTTGCTGTGTGGTTTGTAAAGTGATTAAAATGTAATCCAAAACTAAACTCTACTAATCTGCTGATAGTGCCTTCTGATGATTAAATAAGGCAATGCTGAAGGGATGGAGACTATACAAGAAGAAATATACCTTGACAAATGCAGAAAACAAAGCATGAATAGCCAGATAGTCAAATCCTGCAAAATAAAGGGTAGGCATTTGGACGAATTACCTTGAACGAGGGGAAGTGCGGTCACTATGGAGAAGAAAATGACGGATACCCAAAAGAGAGAAATAGGAAAAGTCCTTAAATGGTGAAGCAAATGAGCTATAAGCTATAAGCTATGCTTCTGTATTTTTTCTTTTGGTTTGGTTAAAATACAAAATATGTTATTATATGAGTTCTTTTTTTTTTTTATCTTTTTATTGCAATCAATTGCGTTTTTAATTAATTACTATTTATAATCAATTGAATTTTTATTTGGATGAAAATTTTACTAATTAGGATAAATCATTGTCGTGTAACATTAACAAATAAAAAAAATCATATAAGAGCTTGTTTTGTATTTTAGTAAAAAAAAAGGAAAACAAAGCAATATCGGGCACTTCAGAATGAGTGTGAAAAGCAACGTATATATATTTATTTCTTAAGAGAATGCATAGTACAATGCGTAGGACAATGTACCAGAGATTACAAGGCACGCATCGAAATGCAAGAAGGAAAAGCATATTTTATTGGCAAAGGCTATGCTTGGATCTTATGCTAATCACTTGCAGCAGATGATGAGGCACATGGGATCTTGAGCCGAGGAATGGTACTCGAGCCATCCAAAAGCGCCTTGGAAATCAATCCACATGTTGCTTCTGTGAGATGGATACCATCCCAGCTAACATACGAGGAAGGATCACCACAGGATGTCCTGCCTGGACTACCGCAACCTAACAAGAAGTTAAAATTGTATGGACCTCCCCCTCCACAGCATGCAGTAAGAGTGCTATTAAATCCTGGAGAGAAACAAGATTAAGCTGATAGTAAACTACATATGATTTATTTTATCAGGTTCATAGTGAAATAATGTAAGGTTAATTAAGACAAGGAAAGTCCCAAACTGCCTTGGAGAACGATAGAAGGTTATTGCAGCCTGATGATAATCTGCATAAACAAAGTTGGCACGAGGATGAAGCTTTTGGATTTTGTTTAGTTCGTTTTTAAGCATTCCCTTATAGTACTGGGAGAAGTCGTTTAGCCAGTTCAGACAGCCGGTAGAGCGGCCATAATCTTGCTTATTAGACGTCTGGAAACGCGTTAGATAGATTGGCAGACATCCGATTGGTAGATTTCCTGGAACCAGAATTGTCGCTGCCCCCAGCTTGATTAACTCCTACAACATTGTATTAAAAGGAAACACCCTTTAATAATTATTCCCAAAATGCAGTAGATATTTTTTGGAAATTTGCCTGCAATGCTTGGTGGACGCAACCCTTGTTCATTGTATACTGACTAATTAAACATCAGCACAAGAGTTTACTCTGGCTGTTTTACTCCAAGTCCAAGGTTCTTACCTGAATTGCTGAAGAAATGGCATTGATAACATCAGGGACCAATCCTTGAATCACTTCAGTCGTAATCCCTTCAAAAAATGCAAAGTTGAAATCATTTCCACCAATCTCTCCCATGAGAATCAAGGAGTTTTCAAGGAGTTCATTGCATTCTGTGAATCATCATCGCATGTAAAATATGTAACTGATATCATTAGTTCGTGAATAATAATCCTTTGTCAAATGATACGGTAATTCTGACAGTAAGTACTTGGCCATAGTTGGAGATGATATATTTGGTTATTTTATAGGAAAACTATATATATTGAAGGCTGAAGTCCATCTATGAGGAATGGCTATGTCTAAAACTACACCAACACAGGAAATACTTGCCTCCTGAATATGACGAGCAAGAGATGGCAATAATTTTTTGAACAAAGCCACTTGAACTCCCAAAGAAACGTTTGTGACTGGATTTATGATTCCCTTCTGTGCCAGAAATGCATTATCAAGAGCTGTGGCACCCGCCACAGCAAAATTTACACCCTTCAAAAACGTTTGGTTTCTTCCTTTACCAGCTCCAAATATGGTGGTACCAATGGAAGTCCGAAATTCTGAGCTACAAAACCAGGCAAAAGCAAAACTCAAAAGATCATTATCAATTAAAATATAAAATTTTGTGTCCCAAAATTGAAGTGTCTATTCATGTTCAAATCAGACATGTTACCGAAGAAATCAATGACTAAACGACCATCAGAAAATCGCCCTGTCGGTTGATTAAAGAATGTCTCTCCATATGGTGGAAAGGCAGCAGGAGGTTTATCGGCTTGTGAAGGTATGACCAAGTTTCCAGTATCAGAGAAGGAATCTCCTAAGCTGATAATTGATTTGTAGTATCCCCTTCCACTCACACGTGAGAAGACAGTAATGAGAAGAAGAATGCTAATCAATTGTTGCTTGGATAAACAGAGAGAAGGAAATGAAGCCATCACCAAGATTAGATTAAGGATATGGACAACTTTTGAAAGTGAACTTGGTTAACTTATCTTTGGTTTTCACAAGACAATAGTACAATTTATAACGAAAAACGGTCCATGTTAAATTATGGTAACAGGTGGTCCAGCATCTGGAATTTAGGGTACGAAAAGCTACTTATTAACCAGAGGCGAACGGGAGGAGGTTAGTCGGAGTGGTTACGCTCACGTAAAAATTTTTTAAAAAAAATTTAATATATTTTTATTTTTTTAAAATTTTTTAATTTTTTTTAATAAGTAAAATTTTATTGGTTCCAAGTGCTATCATGCTATTAAATGTCTCTAGCTTGTTTAACTGAATACTCTTTGTGGCATTGAAACTGGCATGGGTATGAAAAGGCAAATAGCATAACACACGGCTGCTCCCACAAGATCAACAATAGCTGCGCCGTAACATAGATTGCATCGCCCAAAAGCAAAGTTGGGTATAGAAAATAATAATCTAGCATCCCTCGGTGCACAGGAAAGCTAGCAACAAAAACTTAATCAGCCAACAAAAAGAGACTAAGAAAAAACCAAATAATACAATTTTTTTCCTGTGCTAATTACCATCCAACTTACTCACCCTATCCTACCCAACTTACACAACCCAACGTCAAATATGCAATCATCACCATACACCCACAGCTACGTGTCCTGGCCTACCATCACTGTTCAATAATGCTTTGAATGACCTTGTCTTTCTCCTTTCTAAAATTCAAGCTCAACTTTTTGCTTAGTTTCTAAATGTCTTCGGCTTCCATTCTGATAGTAGAGTTCCGTTTCCTTATATTTGGGTCAGACACTGATCTACCTTCTTGATTTCTTTTAGTTTCTAAAGTTTCTAACTATAGAGTACCTGATTTTCCTTTCCTCATATTTCTACTCCTCTTCTTTCTATTTTTCTCCCTCTCTTTGCTACCTAGTCTTCTACTCGAGTTGAGCGAAATCTTGACCATTTGACTTTCTCTCTTTTGCTGCATAGAAGCTTTGGCATTAGCCACCCCTTGGCTTCACTTCCCCATCGTTGTTGTCTGTTATCTCCCCTTTTCTTTTAGTTTGTACTTTCTCCCCAATCCTTTCCTCTTGTTCCCATTCAATCCGTTCCTCGTCACTTTCTAAATTTTTTCCCCTAAGTTCCCATTGCTCTTTTTTATTGCTGGGCATAACACCCTCAAACCTGTACTCTGTTGCTTTCTATTTTCCTTTCCTAAAATTGGCCCACTCTCAATTTGCTCCAAATCACCATTACCCTTTGTTGGTAACTCCGTTACTGTTATTAACCCATACAAAACCATGCCCTTTTTCTGACAAAAGATATGATAAATGATATATACCTTTCACAATTTTTCCTGAGGTAATTATTCAAGATGGAAGTTATGAACAAGATTACCACGTTGTCAGACTACTTGTTTGATTGACGTAGAGTACTTTTCTCTTGTCCTTCGCTTTGTTCATTGTTACCTATTACGGAATCAAAGATTAGTTGCATAATTTTTTTCGCATGACAAACAATCAAAAATAAAGAAGCTCACGCCAAGAAGATTAATTAAATAGAGAAATAACCGAAAAGACTGATTAACCTTAAATGTATATATACTAGGGTTTTGGTTTTAACTAGAACAGCTTTCACATATAAAGAAGCTCACATGGCACAGTTCAGATTTTACTTAATTTATGAAGTTGGGAAATCAATACAAATAAACCCTTTCTCGTACAAAAAATTGAAATTTTACACTATAAGGCTATGGCCCTTTTCCCCTTAGCTTCGCCCCCCAACTTCAGGGACAAAGGAAGCCACATCAATTTTTTCAGCCCACAGCCGCACAATTGAAATCTACACCGATTAACCTATATATCATGCTTTAAGTTTTGAGATTTTACTTTAGAACATGAGGCTAAAACGTTAACCTAGCCCCAGGATATACAATTGCTTGATAATTCAAACAATATAAGAAATACGAGAATGGTTTAATTGGGTTGAATATTTAACAACCTGTTTACTCATTTATCTCCAATTTAGTGTTTAAATATCATATTCACTATCCAATTCAATCCATTTAACTAGTATAGCTCATTACTAAGGAGTCGCTGATAATAATTAATTCGACTTCTCTTGAAATGATCATTTCATAAATCAAATATAATTTTTTTAAAAAAATTAAGAATAGAGACAGCATAGCTATTTTATTCTCCCAACTAAACATGGACTAAGAGAAAAATAACTTTCATTATTGTATTATTATTATTCCTGAGTTCCGTGCATGCTTTCAATGGTCATAAGTCATTATTGATAAGTTATAACTATGTTTATTTCCAATTTTCATGACAATTTTACCAATTTATAGAGGGATGGCTAAAATTAGTTTATCAAGATTAATTGTTGTTATTACTATAAACGTATTAATCCCTTATTTAATATATTCATATTTATCACCTAACAACCTAACCAGTTGAGCGATTGCTAGAAATAGCAATAAACATAGTAACACATTATCTATTGGTTTTTAAGTTGTGACATAGCGAAGCTATTAAAGTTTTTAATTCTTACATTAATACCAATTATTAGTTATTTAACAGGATATACAGTAGGATCTTATCTGAAAATTTATATATAATTTGTCTCTAATTACTAAAATGAGTACTGTTATTTGTTTTAGATCTTGATTAACTATTTCAAGTCATACATGTTACATAATTTTTAACAAATTTTGGTTCTTATATAATATATATTTTGGTTCAATATTTATGTGTTCGTTTTTTTCCTTGTCTCTATATAATAGTAAGCCTATATAAAAGTTTAACTCCAATAATCGTGTTAATAGTTAAAATTTAAAAGCAGCTGAGTGAGACCTGTAATTTGACAGAGTTGGAACTTGGTCACTTACTAGTTGATCAGAATCAGTGCTTTCCCACGGTTCTACAAAGCAAGTACGTATTCTTGAATGCAATTAGGCCATGTTCGTGACTACTGGACCTTTTTTAAGTTCAATTTTCTTGTTTGATCCATTCCCAACCCAACCCATTATTCCTACTTGACGTGGGTCATCCATTCCAAAGTATGGCCTTATGGTTAAATGGAATAGGTGGATAAATGGATTCGACCTTCAGCTGAAACGGCTTTTCCTAGAATTGCTTTTCACTGCTCCATGATCCATCAGCGTTTAGGTTAACACAATCAATGATGGTAAGAGATGCTTTATCAAACTGGGTAGCAAAACAAAGGGCGGTCCAATGCTAGCGGCTACCTTTCATGTCCTTTTCCCCTTCTCAGTTTTTCAACCAGTTAACAGCTCATCTGCCAGAAAATTTAATAATTTGCATCTTACCAAGTACTACAGTTGGATTATGCATCCCTAAAAAAATTCATGTGGACTGAGAGCTAATGCAAGAAACCAAAATGTGACCAGTTGGCTAAACTTGCATGTAGGCTTAGTTTCATTCCCTGGAACCAAAAGGATATAACCAAAACAGCCATACATTTCTTCAGCAGGGATGATTACAGGTACCAATCAATTGAAACTTTTTGCAGCTTCCTGCCAGAGAAAACCTACAGGTCTAGAAAAGGAAGGCATTAATATATCCAAGCTGGCGAAATTGGATCATTAATCAAGAAGGAACACCAGTTACGATCTGAATCTATGGAGCTGAGGTTGTCTGTATTAATGAAGTTTTATTTGATCTGTCTGCTTTCAAACACATTTTGCGGTGGACAATTCAACTTTTTTGCTTCAATAATTAATAGGCCCTTTGCGCCACATTGTTGAGTAGATTCACGAGTTAAATTGGTAGTCCTACCAAGTACCAAACCACTTAAATGGGATGCACTTATTTGAGGCTCAACTGCCAGAAACAACGAAAATACATGGGTTTTCTTGGGGTATAGCTTTCTTATAACAGAGCAAAGTTCTTACATTTGCAAGTTGCCACTTCCCTGTCTCAAATCTTTTCCAGCTTTGGTCGTTTATCTTTACCATGAACAAGAAAATCTTTTTGCTCATAATCTTGTTCCAAATCTTTGGCTTAGTTTTATCATCAAGCCCCCGAAAATACGAGTCGATTTTTAACTTTGGTGACTCCCTTAGTGACACTGGGAATTTCCTTCTCTCCGGTGCCCTTGCATTTCCGGTCATTGGACAGCTACCTTACGGTGAGACCTTCTTTCAACACGCAACAGGGCGATGCTCTGACGGACGTCTTATCATTGATTTTATTGGTACTCTTCTGATCTCTCCCTGACATTCTTTCTTGTAAATCAACTTGATTCAAAACTCGGATTTCATACTCCTAACTACGCTTTTCTATAATGTTTAAATCCAGCTGAGGCGTTTAGTTTGCCCTATTTGCCACCTTACCTAGCAGTAACAGAAGGCCAGAGTTCTCAACATGGAGTAAACTTTGCGTTTGCTGGGGCTACTGCACTTGATGCAGAGTTTTTCCACGAACGAAACATCGGATCAATCTTGTGGACAAATAATTCCTTGAATGTTCAGCTTGGTTGGTTCAGGAAGCTGAAGTCCACCCTTTGCTCCAATAAACAAGGTGATATTTTTTTTCTTTCTTTGGTCTCTGGGCTAAGAGTATTATATCGAGTGATACGATTTTTCATCCAGGTCCAGTACTTCCTCTGTACCTTCTTGGAATAAAATTTTTCTTTTTGTCATAGCCTGTGATGACTTCTTCGGGAAATCACTTTTTCTGGTGGGAGAGATTGGTGGAAATGATTATAATTACGCCTTCTTTCTTGGGGGAGGCATTAAACAGCTTCAAGCTATAGTACCTCTTGTCGTTGGAGTAATTACCAATGCTACCAGTGTAAGTTAGACCAAAGAATTACAGCTAACAATTTCGTCCTTATTCCGACTAAAATTGGTCTGATCCTGAATTTTCCATCACGTCAAATTTTGCGGTCCCCAAGCTAGAAAAATTTTTGTTGAGTTCTACCAAAGTCTAATTGCTTGTAATCATCGTTATTA